CCATCACGTATGGCCAATAGTACTCATATGATTTTTGAATATATGGTGCCATGGTAGAAATCATGATTCAAGCAACTTTGGTAACATCATTGACATGTTTGGAATTAGAAGGTATTTCTTCTGGAGTAACGATTTCCATGTTGATCTCAGGAATAGGAGTATTGAGAACATACTCTTTGTTCTCATACCGAAGAGTCATCTTCAAGTTGCGCATCCAGTCCAAGTAGTTTGGACCAGTGAGCTTTTCCTTAGACAAAATCGACAGTAGAGTGAAGTTTGAACTTGGAGGGTTAGGAAGAGGGGGAGGAGGAAGATCACCATTTCTAGACATCTATTATAAGGGAGAAATTTTTAGTTAGTTGATTTTAATCCTTAATATTTTGACCCAAATTTAATATGTAAGGCTAGGATCCATATTTTAATTCGAAAATTTAACGAGGGATGCCGTAATCAAATTGCGTATTTATTTCAGGTAGGCAAGACTTTTACCAATTTCAGTCTCATATGAAATCCCTAGATCTCTTGAAGTTCATTGAATCTTATCATTGGCTTGTTTAATCTTAGATTATTCTCTAACTTTTGTGATTGGGATACCGGGAATCACAAATGAGATGTGAATAACCATGCAAATCTGCATAACACCCTCGATGTCATTTATGATCTCACATTGATGTGCCGGTTAACAACAAACGCTTCATCAACAATCATAAACTCGAGTTTGTACCATCATTTCTACTTTGTAGTCCCAAATTAGTGTGTCGGTTAACCACGCACGCTCCACCAACTACTCACAAATAAAAAATGTGCCCTTTCATGGATTAGCATATAATTTCACATTTTTTCCTAAGTAAGTAGAGTGGGATTTTATGTATTTTATATCACTTATATGTTATACCTTTAACATGATTAATGTCCTATCATAACCCTTTCAGCGAATGACAATCCACCACTTAAAGAAGCGGTGGGTGAAAAGGATACCCATTCAAATGTCATTTTATAATCCATCTCTTTATACCTCTCTTATAGCATTGCTTCATTAATGAGGCCTAGTGTTGGTTTAACTGATATAATTATTAATCTCATACATATAGTATTATAACTCTTATATATATATACATACATACATACATACATACATACATACATACATACATACACACACACACACACTAGTACAAAACTGCACTATGGCGTCAGTTTTTTAAAACTGGGTGGTCTCGGTTTTCATTTTTCTCATCACTAAAGGTCATAAACTAATTCACATGATTGTTTCCATGAGAGTTTATTGAAAACGAGTCACCATTGCATGTCAGACTTCACATATTCACGTCGGTTTCACATAAAAAAAAGTGACGATTAGTGTGATGTCCTAAAATGGTGGGCAAATGTCCTATTTACTAATGTGTTCTGTTATTTTGTATGTGCCTTTATTGTGTATCAGTTATTAAGCGAGACATATGGTGTTGAAGTTTGATTTTAAGTGATTAAATCTTATATTGAAGTTTCTAACATGAAATAACCCGTGACAAGTCGTGCAACGGCCGAAAATGGTGGCCAAATGTCATCTATTATAACCGGTTTTTTATTTAATATATACCTTAATGGGCTAAGTGAAACCCAACTATCCAAGTCCAGTAAAACCGGTTCAAACTATCCAAGTCCAGTAAGTCAATAATTTGTTTTTGATAAAGTGTTTGTCTTGGCTTTACACATGTTTTAAGGGGTATTTCTCTTTTACAACCCAAAAAGTTATAAGGAGTTTCGAAAAGTTAGAAATCTTAATTTACTTATGAAATATCATTTTTGAAGGCTTAATTAAATGTTATTTTAAAAGTCCTTTTCATATTGACAAACACGTTTTTTGACTTATTGACTTTTCAAAGAGTCGTAAGTCTTTAAGTTGTTTTTAAATAAAATACCAAACATCATAGCTTGAAGTCAAATAATAAATTAACCATTACAATTGTGAGAATTCATTTCTCAATGGGTGTTTTAAGTGATGACCTTTAACTTATGATTTGTTGAATGTTAAATAAGTAATAAACAACATCGAAAAATTAAAACACGCGCATTTTTACTACAATAAGATATTTTAATTTACACATTACTAGTGAGAATTCATTTCTCAATGAGTGTTTTAAGTGATCACCTTTAACTTATGATTTGTTGAATGTTAAATAAGTAATAAACAACATCGAAAAATTAAAACACGTGCATTTTTACTACAATAAGATATTTTAATTTACACATTACTAGCTATTTACATTCAAATCAACAAAACCCCCCAAAAAAAAGTATTGTGTTTACATTTACAGTTACCATAAAATGTTATGTACCTACCTAATGAAGATATTTTACAAATTTACAAAAACCAATATACTCCCGATAACACTTACAAACACGAAAAAAGTTCAATACATGATCATCATCAGCATATTCATCAGTGCCCTCTTCGACGGCTTGGTCTTCACCTCTTAAAGTCATGACTTGATCTTCTGAAGGTTTACGTCAAACAAAAATATTTTGCAAGAATTCCCTAACTTTTTTTGAACAATCAACAAAATTAGGATCATATACAATCAACTTACCAAAACAATTAACCAGGACGTCTAAACCTACACTTACACATGAGAAATAAAAAACAAATTTTGTCCAATATATTAAATATCCACCACAACATACACATATATAACAACAAATAGCCAAAAAGTAAAGTTTTAATATGCATAATAAACTAAATTAAAGTGTGTTACCTAATGAAGACCTTGTAGAAATTAAGAAAACATATTAAATATCCACAAATATTTGTTCTTGTGATGAGGGTTATGGGCATCCACAATATAGAGTTCAATGAATTGCCACATCATCCGACAAAAATCTATACAACAACACTCACAAGCCATTAATTATTCATGTCCTAATCATTCAAACTCCTTTTTTATAATCCATTGTCATACTTACACTCCATGCAACTCATATTCAATCATACTCATCACCTTATTTAACTCTTATACTACTTGAATTATGGATTATATTGCAATAAAAAGAAAATTTTATATGAAAAAAACATGTATTTAGTATATACAAGACCTTCTTTGCATGTTGGATGCCCTTTGGAGATGTAAATCATCCCAAGAACATAAGTTGCTTCCCAATGATATTTTGTTGCAACAGTATTTAACAACTTAATTCCAACTTCGAAATTACCACTGTAGAAGCACTCACTCTACAAATAACATTAACATTATTAACATTAACGTTAGTATCAATAACAAATCAACGAAAACTATAAGTTTCTGAAAATTGATGATCAAAATTCATACGTACCACTCCTTTTCAGTATGAGGCCTCGGGGTTTTCTTTTTCTGCACACTTATCAATAAAGTCTTTTTGTTTTGATTCAAAAACCATACCTAAAGGAATCAGATCAAGGGAAGCACATTTATGGACATCGCCTTCCTTTCCCGCTTCATTCATACTTTTACAACTAATTAAGTTAAATTTTAAAGTTTATAAGAAAAAAGCAAGTTGATTTCGGTAAGGTTAATGTGACATATACAAGTATATGAAAAGGGTGTGTGAAAATTACCAACGTCTTGCAATACATAAGTCTTTCGCAGATGATGTTGCGATTTTTTCCATAATATTAACTAAGACGTTGTTAGGAAGGTCGTCAACGGTATTGTATCAGCATATACGAGACATCAATCCTATTTTCTTTATAAAGTTGCAATATCAGGGGGGTTTTATCACAATGATTAAGAGGAAACAACGGGAACGGTAATTTCAAGAAACATGGTAAATACATAGTAATTTCAAGAAAGAGGGAAAAAACATACTTGATGTTTATGGGGAAGATGAAAGATCTTAAAACACAAACTTTTGAATAACCGTAGTTATTTTTCAGATTAGAAGAAGATATTTTATAGGGTTTTTGAAAAATGATTGTTTGTTTATGGGGAGATGAAAGAACAACTTTAATTTATTAGGGGTAATGATGATGGCGGTTAATTACCTCTTAAATGATATTTAAACAATCTGATAACTATTATTATAAACTAATAAAGAATTATGATGGAAAATGATTTGTACACAACAATTTTCCTTCATACACAACAATTTATGCTTTGTAAAGTTCTGCAATACAATATCTTAAAACACAAATTTTTGGTCTAGATAAGTAAATATCTTTTCGCTAAAATGTTTTGTAAGTAAGTTCATTGCTATTTTGAGATTCAGATGAATGACAAATGGCTGAGTTTTTTGATATGTTGGTTAAGACAAATGGCTGTAAGAAAGTACATTGCAATTTTGCTATTAAGACAAATGACAATGTCTTGATTCTCTGTGGGACTAAAGGTGGATAAATACAAAACCATATTACACATTTAATTCCCAACTTGACTGTTTTAAAAAACTATTCTTATTTATTGATTTTTTTACGTTTTTCTAACTTGTTTATTATTATTTTTTTAAAATTCATAACATTTTGTTAGACGTGACTTTTATGATGGACTTTACTCGTTGTATCTATTTTAGTGGTTAGCCTAATGTCTACATAGCCCTCTCATTAGTCATTCCATACCAAATTAAACATGCATTCCAAAACTTGACTGTTTTAAAAAAATATTCTTATTTACTGATTTTTTTACGTTTTTTTAACTTGTTTATTATTATTTTTTTAAATTCATAACATTTTGTTAGACGTGACTTTTATGATGGACTTTACTCGTTGTATCTATTTTAGTGGTTAGCCTAATGTCTACATAGCCCTCCCATTAGTCATTCCATACATATCACAATATTGCCCGCTTTGAGCCTCTCGGCACGAGGACTTCCCAGGGGGTCACCCATCCCGATACTACTCCCACCCGAGCACGCTTAACTGCAGAGTTCTTATGGGGTCTACTGCCCTCACGACTTTAAAACGCGTTGTGACAATGAAGGTATTCACACCCCTTATAAGGAGTGTTTAGTTCTCCTTCCAAGCTGATGTGGGATCAGGTGCAACCCACCATCACACGAACATCCTTTCTTTTATCACTTATCAAGAAAAATGTTGCCTGCATTTGTTTGAGAGATGATTTGATGGTAGTGATGCATTGAACCATCTCAACCTTCTCTTCGTATTCCTTGCAAGTCTCAGCGATCATGGAGCGTATACAAGCTTTCAGTTCGAGATCATTCTTGTTGTCGTTATTAATGACTTTGAGAAGAGCTTCATTGTCTATAGTGTTGGGTTTGGCAGCCATGTCGTTTGAGTTCTTAATTACCTGGATATGTGATGATCACACTTCCAAAATAGGAAGTATAAAACAACATGAGAGTGCAAAATGAAAAAGGATAGATTGATCTTATATATAGATGGAAGTGTAGAACTGGCAATATTTTCTGCTTTTTCTAAAATATCTAAGAGAGCATTTATAATATCAGGTTGGTTACCAAATTTGTTCACCTACCCCCATGTCATTAATTGGTATTGATTTTCCAATAGACTCTATAAATAAACCCCTACTTCAGATAAATCAAAGCAATCAATCAAATTAACCATCAAGTTATAGAGGTTCTCCATCCACAATTTGTGTTTCTTCATCATGACGTCCTTTTCTTCAAGCTCATCGAAGATGAAGCAGCAAAAACAAATCATGGTGGAAAACTATGAAGCAAAAGTAAGTGAAATGATAAAAACACCACAATGAATGTGGGAAATACAGGAAATGGGGATTAAAATTCGAGCAACTACAATAACAACAAAACCTGGACAAACATAGAGATTTGTTAGAGCATATTTCACCTGTTGGAGCACGCAATGCTTCTTCGTTTTATCTGCATGAAGAAATCGAGAGGAAGAAGGAATTGGTTGAGAGGATTGAGAAGGCCATGAAAACCATTGATGACCATACCTTGAGTCAAGATGAGTTTTTAGGAAACATATAGACTTTTTGTTTCTATTTTGTCATGTTTGAGTTTTAACTTTTAAATTAATGCTATTTATGTTTTTTGTTTCCTCTAGTGTGCTTAATATAATGTAAATTAATTCAATATAAAATTTTAAATAACTTAAAATAAAAGACTCTAAGAAAAAAATATAATCTAATTAATATCATTTGTAAATTCAATATAAATACTTAAATGAATCAAAACTCAATTCTATAAATTAAATGATCATTAAAATTAGTTTGATTACAATTCTACCACCATTTACAAAAACTAATAAATTCAAATTAAGTATGATATTTAAAAATTAGTTTAGACCACCTCAGTATCGTTCGGTTATCAAAAAAAGGCATTGGCGCGCATTCATTGAAACTGTACAATCAAAACCAATCAAGGTTACAAAATTGGTCTAAATTAATGTTAATTATGTTCATGAAAAGCAATCTTGTTATATTTTGAACTAATTTATAAATCATTTGATGACATTCTTTTATTTATGACTCTGTGTTGAAGGTCAGTTCTGATAAGGGAAAAGTCACTCGAGCAAAGTCCCTTTACCCACATAACATGGGACGTGGGGGGTATGCTAAATTAAAAGAAAAAATTAGTAAGTCCATTGATCGATATATTTCAACTGTTATGAATATATATATCTGGTTTTGGTGTTTGTTAATTCTAGCTAATATTATATTTATTTGTCATACATTTTTTTCTAGATCACTCATGAAACTGCAATTGAAGAAGGAAAAACCATTCTTGAACCAGCCACAGATGCCCTTTCACTGGTCTTTGGCAAAGATCATGGTGGATTTGCAAGAGGGGTTGGCACGGGAGTCACTCCAACCAGATATTGGGATCTGCCTCGAGCCAGATCCTTATCAAAAGAAACAATTTTTGTCCTTCAGCAAAGGCTACAGAAGTAAATAAATGCAAATCAAGATCTAGGGTGCCAAGTTGAGTATCTGATGAGGTTGCAGTTCTTCCTATCATTAATCACGCATACTCTCCAATAACTACTACTCCACCTCCAACAAAGGCTCTTACAAAAAAAGTAAGTAAGTGAATTTTTTATGATAATTTTTAATAAAATGGGTTGCTAACTAATGCTTTCATCGCATATTGTCATCCCAGAAAAGGAAAAATAATTTTATGGGTAAATCGACATCTCAAATACCCCCCAAACAGGTCGAACACCATGTAAGTTAATTAATACAATAATATGTTTTGTACATTTATTTTCCAATATTTTTAACTGTATTTCGTAGACTAAACATGGTCAACTATTTTCAGGAAAGTCTGAATGAAGGTGAAGAAAATGTTACAGCTACGTGTGAGGAGCCACAAGCTGGGAATTCAACTGAAAAGGAATAGCAGCATCTCAACCCAAGACAATGCATCAACTGAACAAAGTATGTATATTCGACATGTTTACAGAGATATACATGTCACTGAATTAAACTTTATACTTATACATTTATTAATAATATGTGTATGTATATGTAGACGATAAAATATTTATTGTCAGTAGCTCAACATAACAATGTTGCTGCAAAGGGTTTTGTCATGTATTCTACCGATGAAAACCAGAAAATACATGGAAAGCCACTGACGGCTGATTACTATAGAGTTTCTGTGGATGAAGCAATAAAGTCATCTGCCTGCATACCAAACGGAGATAACAAACGCCCGTTAATAATTAAGAATGCAATAGGTTCTTTTGTGGCTTGGGAAAAAATATCTTGTAATCCTGGATCCTAAGGTACTTTATTTGCATAAGTTATATTAATATTTATATTCATTAATTAAACATTATAATTTTTTGTAAACGATTCTATTAGTTAATTATATACACTACTTTTGCATGTTTGCTTTAATGCATGTTTCACACCTATTTTAATTTATGTTGTTACAGGATTTAAATATACATATAGTTGAAGAAAATAATGAAATACAAAAGCCCAAGAAAAGACAACCTATTTAAAAGTAGCCCATAAATTATTGCCCAACAACCGGGCTAGGGATAAGTATAGTTTAGTTTATCATTGTATATTTGTATGTATGTTTTTGATGTAATAACTTTTTATTTATTATTATTAAAAAATAGTTTTTTATTACATTATATTTGATATTTTCGTTTTTGCGCGTCATAGTAATGAAAGGTGGCCAATATATATGCAATTAAATTAAAAAAAAACATTCTACAATATAAATAATAAAAAACATATTGTGACGGGTTAAACATGTCGGTGTATGTAAACAATAGTAATGATAAACGATTAAACATGTTAGGAAAGATAACTTATCCTTACGAATTAATTACATTTGTGTCTCCAAAATCCAACAATGGCCGCAATAATATTTATTAACGGTCTCTGTAAGTAAACATTTATCATTCTATATGAAAAAACACATTACTATAAGTATTTTATGCTTACCGTTTAATTGCTTGTGAGTGAATAAACGTTCACAATATTCACGACATAATATTAAACATGTCACTAAAAGTGATCAATAATAATAATAAAAGAAATAACATGTTAGTATATATCATTTTTTTGTGACTTTTTAATTTCTTTATTTATCCGTGTATGTAAGCAATAATAATGATAAACGATTACACATGTTAGGAAACATAACTTATCCCTACATCTTAATTACATTTGTGTCTCCAAAAGTCAACAATGGTCGCGATAATATTTATAAACAGTCACTGTAAGTAAACATTTATCACTCTATATGAAAAAACACATCACCATAAGTATTTTATGCTCACTGTTTAATTGCTTGTGAGTTAGTAAACGTTCACAATATTCACGATATAATATTAAACATGACACTAAAAGTGATCAATAATCATAATAAAAGAAATAACATGTTAGTATAGATCATTTTTTGTGACGTCTTAATTTTTTATTTGTCGGTATATGTAAACAATAGTAATGATAAACCATTAAACATGTTAGTAAGATAGTTTATCCTTACAGCTTAATTATATTTGGGTCTCCAAAAATCTATAATGGCCACGATAATATTTATAAACAGTGACTGTAAGTGAACATTTATCACTCTATATGAAAAAACATAGCACTATAAATATTTTATGATCACCGTCTAATTGTTTGTGAGTGAGTAAACGTTCACAATATTCACGATATAATATTAAACATGTCACTAAAAGTGATCAATAATCATAATAAAAGAAATAACATGTTAGTATAGATCATTTTTTGTGATGTCTTAATTTTTTATTTGTCGGTGTATGTAAACAATAGTAATGATAAACCATTAAACATGTTAGTAAAGATAGTTTATCCTTACAGCTTCATTACATTTGTGTCTCCAAAACTCTACAATGGTCGCGATAATATTTATAAACGGTGGTCGTAAATGAACATTTATGACTCTAGGAAAAAAAACACATCATTATAAGTTTATTATTCATGACGGTTATCAATATAAGATAAATATATCTTCAAAAACACCCTAGCATATAATGACGGGTTTGACCTATAATGACAGGTTTTCATGAGTTATACTCACTACAATTGAACGACAACATAACTTATCTTCAATTACGCGACCTTTCATCTCATGTTCTTAAAAAAAAACAACATAAAATGTCTTTAATTACAAGTTTTTTACGTGGATAAAGCTCAATTTTGTACTAGTGATATATATATATATATATATATATATATATAATATATATATATATATATATATATATATATATATATGTGTGTGTGTGTGTGTGTGTGTGTGTGTAAATGTGTATTTTAAACATTTTAAGAATACGAGGTTTGAATCTAATTAATTGATTTAACTTTTAAATAATTAATATTCAAATAATTAATATTAATAATATTTTATGAATTAGCTTAATTAAACTATTAATTAAATAATATCAATTCCATATATATCTTCCTTGATTTCGAATTAGGATTTATCGCATCACATAATTAAAAGTTTAGATTTTAATTAATTAAGATAACTATTAATTATCAATTAATGTTCCTTAAAAAGGAAAAAGGCAAGAAAATCCGGATATGGCAGAACATAGGGCACTCCGCACCAAGCATAGGGGGCATCGTGCTCGACAAACAGTAAGGTTTTTGAATTTTTTTTGTTTTGATTGCAGTTTCAATTATGCATATATAATAGAAAGAACCCTAGGCTCTGATACCACCAATGAGTTTTCTAGGTTACATTAAACGTTACTGCACACTGGAAACATTATAAAATCTAATTATGGGCTCATGCAACCTAGAGATCTATGTCTTTTCTCATTACAACAACATACTATAGAAACAATCATAAACCCTAGCTATAATTGAAACTCATAGATAATATCACATACCTTTAGTGTTACAATTCTATATAGTAGTCTTGAATCCTCATATCCGCTTCAGAAAGCTAGCACCTAAATTATGGTTGCCTCTAATGGCTCACACCCAAACCCTGGAAACTAAGGAACAATTTGGAGAGAGAGAGAGAGAGAGAGAGAGAGAGAGGAGAGGGTTGGTAATTTCTTCTATGGATTTCACAAGGGATAGTTGGCAGAAAATTATACCTTATGGGATCTATTTATAATTGTCAGATATCTGGGATAAACCCTAATTTGTGTAATGTCCCAAAAACCATGATAAAATTTTTCATTTTTAAAAGACAGTTTCATAAATTCCATAGAATAAACAAACATTGTTTCCAAAACAAAATCATAGAAATCAGAGTATAAAATCATCTCTCAAAACATAACGCAATAGGAGGATGTGTACGATCACGCCTTCTCCTTGCCCCGATCATCTGAAGTACCTAAAAATATTTAAATCCATAATTGTAAGTCATAGCTTATTGAGTTCGCCCAAAATACCCCACACAACAATGCGTATACAATGCATGAATACCAGGCCTACAGTACAAGGCTGGACAACCTTTTGAGCCTACAACATAAAGTTGGACTGCTCCCGAGCTGACAATATATAGCTGGACCGCTCCCGAGTATGTTAGCCTACAACACAAAGCAGTACCACCTCAACCCAGCCACACTATGTCGATATATGCACCAAAACAATAATAAGCAAGCACATACAATAATATCATATCTACCAACATCCTACACACAATGACACATACTGCAGTATAAAGTATAATGAGAAAACTCACCTTACAAACTATCAGATATCCACACAGCTCACTAGAAAACAAGAACCGTGGGTCATCTATTCATCAAATAGAGACAAATCCTCAATCTATGGCGCTAAATCCCCCAAGTTGACCTAAAAGTCAACTTTGTCAAAAGTCAACGGTCAACAGTCGAAGGTCTACAATCGGTCGCCACGACGTGGTCAGGCTTCTGCCACGTCGTGGTAACCTTAGGATAAAACAGTCGTGAGGCCGCCTCTCGCCATGGCGTGGAGGTCAGTCCTCCACGTCGTGGGAGCTGCTCTGGCCAACTTAATTCATTAACCTCTTAATCCATTAACCCACTCATCCATACTTTCCAGAACGCTTTCTTACACCTAAAGTGTAACACCTTGTTTCAGATGTTCCTTAACTTAGGGATTATGGGATGTAATTTGGTCATGCAAAGGCTTTGGGCTTTGAGAATGTAAAGTTGGACCTTATTAAATTTTGATAATATTTGGTTATGAGGTCTAAGCCCTTTATTCGTATGTTGGAACCCATGGAAAGAAAGGGAAAAGTTGTAGCCCAGGCTTCTTGCATGGATTATGGTTTTAGTTCGGTATGTGATAAGCCAAAGGTAACTAGATAGGACTGTAGGGCTTGTCAATACCTTTATGTGTATATAAAGAATGCCGGAAACAGAGTTGAAACAAAGAAGTTATGGTTGTTTGAAGTTGAGCTGGAAGAAGGCGAGTTTTGCACTACGCAGGGCGTACTCTAAGTACGCATGGCATAGTGGCTGCTAAGGGACACGTTTTTAGAGAGCTACGTAGGGCGTAGCTTATGTTACGCAAGGCGTAACTGTACAGAGTAAAATCCTTAATTTTGGGGTTTTGAGCCCCATTTAAGGACTCTAACCCCTTGAGGCCCTTCTTATCACCAACCTCTACCCTCTTGAGAATATAACTCGAAACCCTAGCCATCTTGTGAGGGTTTTGAAGCATTTTAGTGTTTCTTTGTGTGTTTTGTGAAGAAAGAAGTCATTGAAGGTGTGCTTGGGGAGTCCAACCCTTGTAGATCCAAACTCTACTCTTCTTCAACATCTTCCAGGAGGTATAAAGTTTGAATCTTGTTGGTCCATATGTTAGATCTCTTTAGATTCTTGATTTTCATGTCCTTTGGTCCCATAATCTTGTGTCTTGTGAGTATAAGCTACTCCAAGCCTTGTAGTTGTCCTTCCTTGTGGTTTCTAAGATTGAGGAGTCATAAAAATAGGATCTTGGCTGTCCTTATTCATTCATGCAAGAGTTTTTGGACATTAGAAGGTGTTAGGAAAGTAGAGTTTGGATTTGAGCTTTATTAGCCATGCAAAGGCATAAAGTTAGGAACTTTATCACTCTAGACGTTTATTAGGACCAGGTTTGAGCAATAGATGGTTGGTCTTTATGGATTAAGAGTTATAAATGGAAATGGCTTAACAGCATGCTACACAGGGCGTACTCTAAGTACGTAGGGCATACTCTAAGTACGCAGGGTGTAGATTGGTTACGTAAGGCACAAGTCAACTGGGTGTTGACCGTTGACTTTTTGACCAGTTTAACCTTTGGTTAACTGTGAGGGGTTGAGGACTCAGAATTGCAAAATGGTCTTTTGCCCAAATGGGGCTAGTATTGGTATTTGTACTTGTTAAGTGGGGTATTTCTAACTTGGGTTTGGTTTTGGATATGATTAGTGGGAGAGACTTCAGCACCATGGACTCGTGTGTGAGATTTATTTGTTTATCGATCGAGGTGAGTCTCCTCATTGTACTTGTAGGTCGAAGGCACCAATGCCGACCCACTGGATTATGTTATGTAGGAAGACCAGGTGGCGGCCCCTGGCAATTGTATGAAAGACCTGGATATGGCTCCCGGTAATTGTTTGCAAGACCAGGGTCTGGACCATGGCAGTTATATGTAGGATGCTAGTTGTCTTTATGATACTTGCATGGAAGACCAGGAGGTAGCTCTTCGCACTTGTTTGTAAGACCCGGGTTTTGGCCCCTGGCTTGGCAAGGAAAGATCATGATACGACTTATGGCATGATAGTAATTGTAAGACTATGATTGGCACATGACATTCTCTATTCTATGTATGGTATGTGGTATTTTGGGGAACTCACTAAGATTTATGCTTATAGTTTCATGTTTATAGTTTCAGGTACTTCCGGTTCAAAAGGGAAGGGCCCGACGTGACTGCACAACATCCCCCAGAGTTTATTCCACATTGGTTATTTGTGATTTTTACTCTGATGTTTAATTGATATATTCAACTTGATTGGTTTTGGAACAACTTGTTTGGATGGGTTTGATGTTTTAAAAGTAAATTTTTACTATGAATTTTTGGGACGTTACATAAAGGATCATAAAAATCGATGTTTTATAGACATGCATGTCCTATGCAAGTCTTGAGCTCAAGTTAGGGCATAAAGGTGAAAAAGTGGTCAAAACCTCATGCATGAGTTCAAAACTCTACCAAACTTCAGATCTAACTTCTTTAACTATAAAGGGACTCTAAGGATCATTAAAGTTGCCAACTTTATGGAATCTCAACACTCCAACTAGCCTAAACAAGGAGAATAATGCATGGAAGTCTAGATCTAGGCACAAAGAAGCATAAAGCTTGGAGCTTGAATACTCATAAAGGTACAAAGTATATGCTAGAAGATGATAATGAGGCATTCAAGCTGGATCTATGCACTAAAAGCTCTTCCTTCTTCTTTAAGACACCAAAAACACCTCAGAAGCTCACAAATGTCAAAAAGGAGGCTAGAGTTTTCTTGAGGGTGAAAGGGAGGTGATGGAGGCTGAGGGTGTGCAAACCCTAGCCCTCACTTCCCTTAAATATGACACAAACCCCGGAATTAGGGTTTAGCATAAAATAGTCGACGCGATGTGGTCAACATATTAACGCCACGTTTTGGTACTAATATCACCACCACGTAGCTATTGAAATTCTTTCTTTCTTTTGAGTTCGAATTCCATAACAACAAAAGAAGTATATACTTGGAACTTGGTGTTACAATTTGAATATTAAAATATTCAGATTTAATCAAATATCTCTATCAGCTAAGGAGGCTTCTAGAACCCCCTCTGGGGGAGCCTCAAAACCGTTCATATGAAGAGGGTTTTAGAATCTCTCATTTGCTCAACTATTGAACAACTACAATCCAACCCTTGTACCTCTTTAACTCTAATTAACCAAAAATTAATTTCCAATTAGATCTAAATAAATTTAAAACAATTTCTAATTAATTTATTAATGACATAATAAATTAATAAATCATTTATTCTCTCTTCTAATATTATTCGTAACTATTTCTGGTTATGAGGACAATCCAAAAAGGGTTTTGCTTTTATTCATAAGAATATATCAATTTAGTTATCACCTTAGATGCCTTAATCCATGACGTCTTGTGATTGGTTAACATTCATTTGGGCCTAAGAATGGATACGTTTGGGCCATCAAGTTTTTATGTCTAATTATCGGTCTATAAATAGAGTTTGTTAGCTAGGATTTATAGGTTGTCTTCTCTTTTGATTGTACTTGTACTCTTTATCTTTGTTTGAGCTCATGAATAAGAATATTTCATCTAAGTCACATGGACCGAACCACATTATATATTACGTCTTTATGTGTGTGATCATTCTCGTTTATTCCTACATTATGTTTTTCCATAAAAGAAAAACAAAAACAAAAAAAAGCCTCAAAACGATGTCATTTGCATATATAACAAAAACAATGACATCATTTTGGCCTTACGACATAACATTACGCGACACAAACCCAAAACCTTACAAACCATTTTGTTGTTGGGCATTATATGACATAACATGATTTGGCATATATTATACTGAAGATGTAATACATTTCAAGATGACAACATTTGCTAATTTTTATCTCATCCAATAAGACAGAACAAGGACTCACTCTTGATAAAAGACATGAATGCCCATAACTACGTCATCTGCATATACAATACAAATATCGATCTCCCAGAAAAAGACAAATATATGAACACTAATGGAGTTTTTCAAGCACTATTCATAATCCTTAAAACAATTCTATACACCCTAAAATCTCTATTAAAAACAAGAGAATAAATGTTATCTAATCTTCACAAATGCACAAAAATAAAGAAAAGCTTAAATCAAACTGACAATCTTCCTTCAACTGTGCCTTGATGAATCACGTATCGAAATATACAACTCTGCGACAACCAATATACGTATTTTTCAGGTTTACCTTTCACACTCATTTTCACGCCTTTCTCTTGTTTTTCCAACAAACATGCATTAACTATCTCCAAAAGACTTGTCATGCTCAATGCCATATCTTTTGCAAAATAATACAAAATTTTCGGTAGGTATATTTTAGTTTCTTTGTTCACATACACTGTTGATTGTATAAACTCTTCTTTAGCAATCCTTAGATCCTGAAACACATTCTTCGCGTTGTAGATACGAACCTACATTCAAAAACCCATCATCAGTAGATAGTACACAGTAGACAGTAGTAGACAGTACACAGCAGATAGCAGACATGTAAATATCTAAATAATTTTCATACCGCAGGGTCAGAAAACACCCCTAAAGAAAGGGCAAAATGGACAAGTGGCTCAGGGTAATCAATGGCATAAGCATGTTTACTAGTCTCCATCTTCATCTTCCTCCCTGGAGATAGCAGTGACTGTAGCCACTGTTTTAATACTTACATTAGTAATCATACCAAAAAGAAAATCATTTATTCGTATTATTTTTAGTCCATATTCGTTTCATGGGACCCACCAAGAAAATATTGAATGGTCAAAACGAATGTAATTCTTTTTTGTTACTTTGAATGTTAAGAAATGGTGTCTGAAATAAATAAGAGGCAAACCGGTGCTCTAAAGTGTGGTTTGATTCCTAATATAGCAATCTGTATAATGTATGCGTTGATGGATTGTCCTCCAATGTTGTAAGTTGCCTGAAGTACAAGAATACAAAATTTTAATTAAGACAAATGGATTATTTATTATTTATTAATGCGAATGAAATGAAAGAAAAATGAGTTGCACATGTTTTACCTTTAAAATGGAATTACTTTTTGTGTTACTGTGAGTTCCATATGCTAAATATGCCTGCATAAAAAAAAAACACATAACACCATTTCAACAAGTAACCCATAAATCACGTCTCTTTCAAAAACGTCTAAAGAAAAATTCAACATTAATCTTTTCGAAAAATGCAGATTACTTTTGAAGGGTATTTTGGACATTTTGACAAACAAAGACTTACATGCATCACCAAAGCGTTATGAACATTGATCCAAAATGCAAGCTTTTGTTCACGCTTCATTTTCACAGGGTCAACACTCTCAAGTTTTTTGACCAATGTTCTACACGATTTAAAAACTAATTAGAACAAATACCCAAAATTTAACACCATTGAATTTAATAATTAGAATTTTAGAATTACCTGAATCTTTTTAGCATCCTTGCAGCATAACTGAAGCCATCATCATCTACACCTATTTTTAAAACTTCAATCATCTTAGCATAGGGCCCTTTTTCCTCTTTTACCCCTACATTTTTACTGTCCCATGAAGCTCTCTCAGTGCAATAAGGACTCCATGTATCAGAGATATTTCTAGTACAATATGTACCCGAAGAAGACAGAGATGAAGCAGAAGAAACAGAAGGTCCACTTTGATTTTGGTCCCCAAGCTTACAGTAGATGGAAGATATGCATCTGATCAAATCTTCAGAAAGCCTATCAGGACCATCAATAAGGGTATTTTCGGTATAAGGACTTTCAAGGTGATCCCCAAGGCTACGTGCAGTTTTCCTCTCCTGCAATTACTCAAAAGTCAAATGGAGGGGTGTGGGGGATATGATAATTGATAAGATCAGTTTAAAACTTACTTTTTTAGATGATGAATTTGGAATGGTAGAATGACGATTTAGTCCCTCCTGAAGAGGGGGAATTTGACCATGGTAACCACTTAACCAAGCTTCAGAGTTTAGTTTGGACTCCTTGGAAGGGATGCTATGAACCTGTTGCTTAAAAGCTGTCCGGTAGAGTGAAAGAAGATAACTTTCCAAATGAGCTATTTCTGTTTCAAGAGATGTGATCTCTTTCACCAATTCCATTGATGACTGTATGCAGATTCATCAAAGATAAGCTAAAAAAACATATACGAGCTAAAAAAAGAGGCATCTGCTAGAAAATAACCTTTGAATTTGGGGTGGCGTTTGAAGCAATGGAAGAAAACGAAGTAGAACATGGTGTCATCTCTGATTCCGACCAAACAGAGGATTGATCGAGCAATATTTTCCCCAATTTAGCATCCTGTGTCAAATATATAGTAAAAAATAATATTTTGGATCATTGGCATTCAAAAGAAGAATTGCAAATTCATCAACCCTAAAAGTAATCGTAAGATGAAGACTGACTGGGGTGAAATTGTAGGAAGGTCTTGGTGCCATGTCTACTGACCCATGATCATCTTTGCTAATCTGCCCATTATTCCAGGAACAACTGCAAAACAAACCCACAGTCAAATTTGGTGAACAAACAAAGCTAAAACACAGAAACTGTTCCTACAAACATGACTATCAATTCGCAGGAAAAAACAAACAAAAGCAGTTGCTTTAAAATTTACCCATTTGATAATGATTGAATTAAGCATGCCCTTGTTTTAATTGATGCGAGATTATTAAAATAAACAGAATACACGAAACCCACCTAACAATGAACGAATTACGTATACCCTTTTAACACAAACACGCTTGGGAAACAACATGAGAGTAAAAATCGAAAGCTTACCCTTGAAAGCTTGAGTGGCGGGAAGACAAAGGAGAAATAGGAGTAGTGGAATCACAGTTAACTCTCGGCATCATTTCTGTTGACAACGAGGAGATGAAGAAAATATAATAACTCACTCACCGACAGTTTATGATGACGATCATTAACTGCATTCACAGTATTAGAAACCCGAAGCTGTATCGAAAACTACGTTAGGACCAGATAACGGGGGGAAATGCAAATGAAAAATCAAAGAAAAGGGAATGAAGAAGCGTCATTTAAGAAGAGAGAGCCCTCCATATTAGGGTAAATGGTGTGGAAACTGAAAAGCGACAAATGTACGAACAACCCCACACCAGTCATTATCCATCATAAATACAGAGTGGGTGATGAATATATTACAAGAAATCTTTTGAGGGACGAGGGGTCGAGCATAGTAGGTGTAAATTGAATATCGAAGAGTGTAGAGAGAAAGAGAAAGAGAGAGGAGAATGAATTGAATAATGGCGCATCGGGGTGGGGGAGATGAGCAGCAAGCAATTGCATTGCTGTCTGTAAATAGAATTACGTGCGACTCGGAAATACATGTGCAATAAATAATATTGGGATTTTCATTTTTACCCTTCAAAGTTTTGGATTCCGGATTTTTATTGGTAAACCTGATAATCATAATCGTAAAATCAAAATTTTTATTTAAGACTGTTTTTATGTTTTATAAAATTGTGAATTTGTGATCGTAAGATCATAATCGAAGAATTCTATTAATAAAAACTACCATTCAAATTTGTTTGTGTGGTCTAATTTGTATAGTGTTTATTGTAATTTGATATGTTGATTAAGAGACTATTTGACAGCATCTAAATTTTTAAGATCTAAATTTTTAAAAAGGTCTTAATTTTTGAGATCTGAATTCTTAACATGTTGTTTGGTTGGAACATTTAAATTGTTGTGCTGCATTATAAAAATAACCATTTTACTATTTTGTATTATTTTTTGCTGAATAATTAAAAATATATATAAACACCATACAAAATCCAAATTAAATAAATCAAAATTTAACTTCAATAATTTATAATGATATTTTTTAGATATATTTACAAAAATAACATCATTTTTTTTTTACATCCCAAGGATTTCAAAGTTAAAAAACAACAATATTTGACATTGAATGTTGAGATATAAATGACAACGAACTTGCAACCGAACACTTGATGATTGATTTGTACTCCTTGTCGATCATTACATCAAACACGGTAGCCCCTCATTTTTTTTCTTTCAAACATTTCAACCTGCAAATCCAAATTCAACAAGAAAACAAATAAACAATTTAAACACATATATAGAAACTGCATATCAAATCCATCACCAACTTTTCAAAGTATGTTGCTAGAATCAATAATTTATCAAAATCTTCAATTGTTACAACTTGTATAAACTACTTTCAATTCATACAAAGTTCATTCATAATTGTTAGATAATGATGCACCATCATTTATGTATCAAACTCCATATGATATGAATCATTTCACCAACGTAGGTATCTTTGTGTTCTATTTCCAATTCACCAACTAATTGGTTGTTTTCTTTGCTAAAATCTATAATATTAATCAACCAAATTATCATCTTCTATCTTAAGATTTCAAACAACATTCATATACATATATCTTATGACGATCCAGTACATAACCGGACATGAAATACAAAAAAAAAATCAAAATCGAGTACTGATAATCGAGTTCTAGGGCAAAAAAAAAATCGATGTATTTATAAGAATTGGTTTTTAAGGGGAAAAAAGAACAATCGATCTATTTACAGAAATCTATTTTCAGGAAGAAAAAAACTTACCTGCAACATGAGGTCGACGTCGCTGGCGGAGGCGGCGAAATCAATGCCGGAGGTAGCAGACGATTGTAGATCGGAGAGGTAGGAGAAGGGGTGGAAGGGAGGAGAAGGGGCAATGCTGTCGGAGCTTGGCGTCGGAAGTCATGGTGGGAGTCGATTTCAGGGAGGTAGACGACGGGAGGAGGTGATCGGTGTTGGATATGGTCGGAGGTGGAAGGAAACGGAAGAGACGATTTGAAGGTGGTTGTGTGGTTTTGGAGGTGTGTATTAGCGTATGAGGGTAAAAAGGGGAGGAAGCGTGCTTTTTTTTTCAGATACAATTTCAAGTCTGAAAGTTTAAGAGGTTTTTATAAAATTGAGAGACTTTTATTCCTATGCTACCAAACACTCTTAATCTAAAAAATTAAGAGTTTGCCTCTTAATTTGTCAATTAAGAGGCTACCAAACAGCCCCTAAGACATCCTAGTTGGATCTTAAAATTTTGGTATAGATCTTGTTTTCAGACAGATCCTTATGTGATCGAGATTGCTTTTCATTTGTTGGTTCAAATCCCAACAACCATGGTTCATAAATGTTTGTATTAAAAAATAATAATGCATTGTAAGATCATCTAAGTATCAACAAAGGTAACTATGATAACAAATCACGTATGTACGAATTTCGTATGTCATAAGGTCTAATGTTAATAAACTAACAACTACATGAAAAATAAATTGGATAAAAAACAATGATTAATAAAAAAGAGATTAGTAACATTCAAACGAATACTACGTAAACAATCAACCGAAAAATAACATTAACCATACACAAATTTTAGATTTCATATGGTTAACTGTCAACATGATAGTGATAATGTACGTGTAAATGGAAAGAGGTCATTATCCTTTATTCCAATGATAATTAAAACCGAGCAATTACAAAACACTAACCCAATAACCCGAGATAGCAATGAATTACTATGGTGTAATAGGGTCGACCTTACATTGTGTTGAACTAAGCAAGGGCTTAGGGCCCCAATTCTAAAGCTAATTCAGTAATTATATTATAGAAACGATTGTTAGACATGCTACAATAAACAATTCCACAAACGCAAGTGAACGACGATTCGATTTCGACAAAACACAACCTTTTATTCTTCTTCCTTCTCGGCTTCTTCGCTAATCTCGATTCTTGAAAACTAAAAGTTTGAAACGCAGTCTTCTCAATTCTTCCTTCTCCATTCTCTGATTCTCGATTGTCCAAATCAAGGGGGGCTCAACCTTAACTGAAACATTATGTGTTTTTCACTTTTCCACTTTTGAGATTTCCATTATCTTCTAGTTTTGAGTTTCCCATTATCTCCTCAACTGATTATGGACAATAGCTAATTAGGGTTAATTTTTTAAAATTATCCATTGTCCATTGATTACAAAATATAGAATCAGGGACTCAGGGTTGGAACTTGGAACGAATTTAAGTTTTCCAGTTTTGAGTTTTTCATTGTCTTCTATTCACATGGTTGTCAAGAACTCAAGTGTCACTAACTCACTGTGTAAAGTAGGCAAGCACCATGTATTTTCATTAATCCATAATCCATTACTTTCAATTTATTGTTTTTTCATCTTTAGGTATCTTGTTGATTGTTATTATTAATCAAATAATCAATAATCATGTCTAAGAGAAAATATGAATTAGGGGCTTTAAAAGGAAAATATAAATGCAATAAGAAGCTTTTATAATCACCAAAAGGGTCATTTTTAAAAATTTCAACTACAAACTAAAATATTGATAATGAACAATAACAAACTAATCTTGATAATAATAACCATGAACAAATTAATATTGAAATTGATAAGGAACAAACTAATATTGAAAATGATAACAAACAAACTAATATTAAAAAAAATAACGACCCTTTAAACATATATGATCCAAGTTGATGGAATAATGTTAATACTACTTTAAGAGATTTAATCGTAGAAAAATGTCATATTAAGATTTATAATTTTAACTTTTCAAAAGATCAACATTTAAGAAGTTTTACTATATCTTTGTATATGCAAAAAAAATATCAAATGGAGAAAATAAGAGAGAACATGGTTGGTTTATTCCATAAATATAGATAGTTTTTTTTTTGTAAATTATTTAATGTGAATATATCTACATTTCATTAGCAAATAAAGATAATAATGATTGGAACAATATTTGTAGTATACTAAAAAGACATGAAGCAAGTAACAGGCACATTCTTAATATGAGGGCATGGATTGACTTACAAACTCAATTAGCAAATAATAAAACAATTGCAACACCTCAAATTTCAAAACAATTTTTCATTTTTAAATTATCCAAATAATGTTCATAAGTCAAGTCATTGGAAAAAACATAAGTGTCATCAAATACAAATCATCATCACAAAATATCAGAGTGTCATAAATGCCCAGTAACAAATCTCTCAGCGAGTGTGTACAATCAGACTTTCGCCTTCACGTGATCCTCATAAGTACCTAAAACACATATAATCAACAATTGTAAGCACGGACCTTAGTGAGTTCCCTAAGATACCACATACAACACAACATAAATAAACAACTATGTGTTATCAAACAACCTTGGGGACTATTAGCAATCCCAATGGGCAAACAACACGCCCTGTGGGTTATCAGCAACCCTGGAGACTATCTGCGATCTCAATCACACATAAACGCATAACACAATAATAACAGTTAGACCCAGTTGGTCATCACAAATACAACTATTATACCACGCAGGTAAGAATAAGTGAGGAGACTCACCTAATACTGATGATAGATAAATCTCACACCCGAACTGTTGGAATAGACTCCGCATAATAACACAATAATTAACCCTAATTAATAATTAAGGTCCATAACTCAACTCACAAGTCCAAATCCCACAACTATGCCCCTTAAGGGAAAAAAGACCATTTTGCCCCTCCCATGGTCCAAAACCTTAAATCTTGACCAAAAGGTCAAAAGTCATCAAAAAGGTCAACTGCCCAGCACGTACGCTGGGCGTACTCAAAAAACCAGACGGGTTGGGGTCAGGCCTGGCTACATTAGGTGTAGCCAAAAGTACATGGGGCGTATGTCGTCTAATCCTATAATTACCCCATAAAGGTCTTAATCGTTAAGACGTGCAATCCAAACATAGATCTGACCTCCATAGAACGTCTTAAACCATAAAGTCCATAGGTTTAAGCCTTTGCATGGCTGAAAAGAGCTTAAAGCTTAAAACCCTAACTTAGTCCAAACTCAACACCTCCAAACTCTTGCATGGCTAGAAAGGGACCATCAAGCAACCATTTTATGAATCTACAAGACCTAAAACACATAAAATGACAACTAATATGCTCTAGAGTACTCCATACTCACAAATGTCCAAGATTTGGGACAAAAAGATCATAAAAACTCATCTATGGAGATCTAGAAAGAAACATATCAAGGTATAAACTTTATTGTAACATCCCCCCTCTGGCACATATCACAATATTGTCCGCTTTGGGTCACTCGGCACGAGGACTTCCCAGGGGGTCACTTATCCCGGTACTACTCTCGCCCGAGCACACTTAACTGCAGAGTTCTTATGGGATCTGCTGCCCTCACGGATTTAAAACGCGTTGTGATAGGGAAGGTATCCACACCCCTTATAAGGAATGCTTAGTTCTCCTTCCCAGCCGATGTGGGATCAGGTGCAACCCACCTTCACCCCC